GTGCACAGTAGAAACAAAAAAATGTTTTAATAGATGTGTGTCTCCTTCTCCGTGAGCATATCAAGCAGATGCTAGAAAACAAGGATCTTCTGTTTTAGAAAGTATGTCAGAAATTTCCAACCACAGCCATCCTCGACTCCAATATCAGTTATCTCTCTGACACCACTAATGACCTCAGGGTCCAAACCACCTTCTTGTTTTCGAATCTCCTTGCCACCTAGCCCCTTCATTTCCTAAGGATCACCTGTGTCTTCACAGACCGCCAGCGTATTCTCTCAACTTCCTACTTCCTCAGTTTCATCCTGCCTTCTGGGTCCCGACTGCTTATCCAAGTTCAATCAGCCTAATTCTTCCTATACACATGGCTTCATTTTCACCACCCTTAAATGTAACCCAACTATGCCCTGAATCAGGCATCTACCCAGGCTTCTGATCCTGCTCTAAGACCAGGCAATCTTCCTCCTTCTGCCTGTGTCTGAGATCCATGCGAAGTTCTACAGAGCTAAACAGAGCACATGGACCATCCACCCTAACCCAGACTTCTGGGCCTCGCTAGCACTCAGGGCTCCCTTAAATTCCACCCTACCTTTCTAATCTCATCCTTTTCTAGTCAAGCTCACAGAACCCTCCTTTCTGGCAGGCTTATCCTGTCTCTGCCGCCTAAACTTGCCTGGTTCATTCCTGTCTCTGTGCCTTTGCTCTCAAACCATACTTCCTCCCCAACGACCCAACACTCTCCCCTCGCCTGCTACCATGCACCCGTTCTGATCATAAGCTTCCTCCCTCCACATCGACTCAGGTTCTCCCTCCCCAGAGAAGCCTTCCCTGATCACCAGGCTTCCAGGGATCTTTCACTCTGAATTTCTATGTTTCCCGATCACTCACCCGACAATCTGTGATAGGTTTTTGTTTACCTTTTAATCTTATCTTTTCATAGGAGAGCCATTTCCTCATGAGCATGAACCATAAAGCACACTTTAAAAAGCTGAACACTACAATAGCAGTCAACACTAAGAGAGAATTTTCAGGACATAAGAGTCTCCCAACAGGAACAAGCAATCCCATTTTTTCATGTTTCTTTCTAGCCCTTGCCCATTCCTGTTGACATTTTACACAGTAAGAATCATAACAGCAGATTCAACCATACAGTCGCACATACTGTTTTCCATTCTGCTTTTTCCACTAACAGAGAAAACTGTCTTCCTTGGTAAAAGATGCTGATTTTCATCATTTTTAATATCTACATAACAATCTTCCCACTGAGATTCTAGACCATGATTTACTTAAGCACTGACTTCTATCAGATGGTACTTTCTTCTTTCTGTCTTTGTGCCTTTCACTGCATCAAGTACTATAAAATGCAAAGTAATCCCTTGAGAAATACCTGTTGAAATATATTTATTATCCATGTTCCCTGACAACTGAAATAAACCATTTCACTATTTTTCTCTCCAGCTAAATACCTAATGTAATTCTTGGTTTCACTACCTTAGGCTAGGTAGATAGGACAGGTATTTTCCAAACACTTTTGATGTAAATGTATTTATTTTGGTAGTTGATCTTACACATATTTAACCATGGGAAGTCCCTTGCAGAAAGGCAACAAGATCCTGTAATATCTAACATAAGCTAGACATCTGGCAGGCACTCAGTAAATAGTAAATATTTTTAAAACCATCTGAAGTTATAAAACATCAAATTCCTAAACAGGAGAGTGTCACTGATCTAGTTAATACCATCGATAATGCTTGTAAACCTTTCAGTTCATTTAATAATTAAACTGGTTAATAATGTATGAATGGGTGTTCCTTACAGTATATAGAAAAACACAACCGGAGTTATCTGGTGAGTTGTCCAAGTCTGAAAAATAACATGAAAAACCAAACAATATCTGCAACAAGAACTTCAAGATCTCCTGACAAATCAAGTTTACAGATTTCCTTCAGCTTGTTTAAGGACATATTACAGATGAAGAACAGCAAAAACAGAAGTTGTAATATTAAAAGTAGGTAAAATTACATATGCATGTGAACACAAACTAGAATGAAAATAAGAAAATGAGACCGAATTGTTAAAATGGAAAGATGTTGCAGACTTTTTCCCTTTTATGTTTTATTTTGCTAGTGCAATGTTAAAATATATAACAAGAAAAATATTACTGACAAAAGCGTATTCATTAGCCATTATAATTCTTGCTATTATCCAACTAGGGCATAATGCTTAATGTTGAAGTAACAATGTTTCCCAAACCCACACATAATTTAGCAAAAAAGACTGAAACTCTTACTTCCATGATAAATGTTAAATAATAAACCAATGAACTCCCTTAACACCTTAGCACAGATATTGAATCACATGAAGAACTTAATGGTACGCGAGAAGCTTCTTGCAAATTTCAGTTTTCCTCAAAAAGAAGGCAATATGATTCCAAATATCGGAATCTATACAGCAAAACTTCATCAGCCTGGTAATCCATTCTCTTCTCATTCTTATTTGTGAAGAGTGATTTCTGAGGTTGCATCCTTAACTGATATGCTAAAAGAGAAATAATTATGACTAAAAGTGTACTATTTGTCATAATTAGACACTACTACTTACTTAATACACTAAATTTTCCCAGAAGTAATTATTAGTCAAAGTAATAGGATTTTTTTCAAAATTACTGGAAAGGAAATATATTTCCGTTTTCGTCTTTTTAAACAAATGCCAGGTAGCAGTTTAAAAATCACTGGCTTTAGGGGAGCCTGGCTCAGTCAGTGGAGCATGCGACTCTTGATCTTGGAGTTAAGTTCAAACCCCATGCTGGATATGGAGATTACTTAAAAATGAAATCTTAAAAAAAAAAAAGAAAAAAATCACTAGCTTTAGAATTCCACTACAGTGTATTCCATTATGTCTAGATTTATGTAAATGACAACTTCAAGATGAAATAGAAATAGAAACAATAACCTTAATTATCGTGGTAATCACAGCAAAAAGAAGTCCATACGCATTCAGGAAATACAACGCTAGGTGAGAGATGGCACTAAATGAAGGGGGAAACGGTTTACCACAATAAGGCACTCTATTAATAGAGTAATGGATCCATGTACAAACCTTAATTTTGAAATGAGTTCACCCAAAGGAACAGCTAACATCCATTCCACAGCTAAAATTTTTATTATTCTGTGTGTCCCTGGAAACTCTGATCCTGCCAATTATTACAATCTAACTAAATGACAATTTATAACAATAGTACTTCCCCCCAAAAACTGAAATTCATGGAGGGAGGGGAACAGGGAAGGATTCTAATTATCTGAGATAGGTCTTTTGTGATGGCTGGTTAGCTGCATCTTTTTAGCAATGACATTTCCAAGTTTTTTGTGAAAAAGGCAATTTTAAGAATGTGCTGATACCGTGCTTTCAGAATCAAATCCCAGATAACAACGTTATGTGGCTTACTTTTTCCTGATTTTTTAATCATTGTGATGGTAATAAATTTGAATAAAGATGCCTGAGCACTTAAGAACAGAAGCTTCTAAAAACTTTCCGAGTTGATTTTTGTCAAAGGAAAGACTGAAGACCCCAAACATGTACTAGTTTAAGTTCATTTAGGGAGAAGGATGGAGGAACTCACATTCTATGTCACACAACAGACTTAAACTGACCTAGCAGGGACAGGAGGAATCACCAACTCCAACAGAAGAGATGAGTCGGAAGAGAAATAAAACAACTTCCAAAAGGACAACCCAACAAAACATACTGCCAACTGGTTGATCTGTGTATCTCAATATATACAAAAGACAGCAAAGAAAAGGAAAAGCAGAAAACAACTTAAAATTTCTACACAGATTCAACACTTGATTATGAACAAATTGCAAAAACGTCTTAGAAGTGATTCTGATACAAGATTTTGATTAGTTAAGTCTTATCAATTGAAAAGTCATCCGCTGGGATAAGTGATCTCAATAACATAGCCTCGGATAGAAAGTGTTTTCAAATATATTACCTCATTTAAAGTTACTTGCCCAGTCACGCTGCTACTTAAGCATTAAAGTCAAGGCCCAGCCCACCTCCTCTTGGTACTTCGAGTTGGGGGTTCTCTTCACTCCATTTGACTAACTAAAGTTGATTTAAAATGTAGTCGGTTTATCTGCTTTCTCTACCCTCCCTGCAGAATTGAGAGAATGTCTGAAAGATACAATTTCACAAGAATCTTGGCACTTAAACTATTTATTGTTGAGAGATGACGAATATGACTCCAAGCAAAAACAAAACTATCTCAACAGTCAAAAAAAAAAAAAAAAAAAAGGCGGGGTGGGGTGGGGTGGAAGGGCATCTCTTTCACCCAACTTCAAAGTCTTCACAATTCTTTATGACCGTCCTGCCTAAACGTACATAAAGTGAAAACCACAGACGAGGAATTTTTGCACTTGAGTGCTTTCTCAGGAGTAAAACCAAATTCCCTGCCATTTTTTCCTGCCACGGACCACAAAAGTGCAGGGTTGGGGTGACTGGGCCAGAGACGTGGGGCCTCGGGGTCCCTGGCTGTCCCGGCCAGGCTGGTGGGGTGAGGACCCGAGGGGCGGGGGCCACTCTGACAGCTGGCAAGGAGAAAGAGGGGGACACAGCGGGGCACGAGCAAAGGGCAGCGGTGGGGGAAAGGAGGAAGCGAGCCGGGGGCGAGGGACCAGAGCGCTCTCCCGCAAGGGTAGGGGAGGCGAGAGGGCGAGAGGGCGACGGGGCGGGGCGGGGCGGGCGCGCCAGCGGAAGGGGCAGCGGACCGGGACGTGGGGCCCGCAGCGCCCGGGACGCGGTGCGGGCGAGGGGAGGGGCGTCCCCGAGCAGGACTGGCGGGCGAGGGGGACGAGGTTTCGGGGCGCGCCGGCCGCTCTCTCGCCTAGACTCGGACTGCAGGGGCGGGGTCCGACGGACCCCACACAGCGGCCGCGGCTGAGGGAAGGGCGCGCCAGGCACCTGCCGCCTCCACCGTCGCGGCCCCGGGCGGGCTCGGCTCTCACCTCTCCGGTTCATGGGCCGGATCCGCACGGCCACTTTCACTTTGGAGTCCCCCATCCTGCTGCCGCCGAGGCTCTCCCTCGGCTTCCGTCTGCCGCGGCCACCGGGCAACTCTTCGGGGCTGGCGGGGCGGGAGGGGGCTACGGGAGGGAGGGGCGGGGCGGGGCGGGGGCGGGGCCTGGGCGGGGAGGGGCAGGTCGCCGGGCTCCCGGCGCGTTCTCGCTGCATGACGGGACTTGTAGTCCTTGAAGGTGGTCGAGGGCAGGACAGTGGGCTCGGGCGGGAGAAATCAGGAGGGCTTCGCTGTCTGGAACGGGTGACTACCCCTCTGCTTCTACTCCATTCTGCTCTCAGAGCTAGTACTGAAACCTAAGCCGTCGATAAACTGATATCGCACCTGAAAACAGAGTTGAATAGATGGCATTAGAGACCCTGAGAGCGACCTCTTCAGACTCATTTCCTGCCAACCTTTAAAGTACGATCCCTGGCTCAGCTTCCTCTGCCTGGGTTGCACTCCAGGACTTGGTTGCCGAAATCATCCTTCGAGACCAGGGAAAAGTTAATCTCTTCTGGAAGTCTTCATATACGACCCCGCCGTCTGAGCCACTACCCAGTCAAGACCCTGGGCTCCTGAACCAATTCAAATCCCACGTCAGGACTTTCCAGCGGTGTGACTAGGGACAAGTGATTTGACCGCTTAAGACTTGTCTTTTCATAATTAAAATGGAAACACTTTACGCCTATTTCGTAGGATTGTTTCAAGACTTAAATGAGTTAATACATGTGAGGTTCTTAAAAACTCCCTGGCAGATAGAAAGTGCTCAATAAATGGAAGTCCTAATTATCTTCGCTTTGTTATAGCATTTATGCTGTCATTATTTGCCGTCCTATGGTTTTTAAACCATATCTGATATGTGGAGCCTAGCCTGCAGTAGAGACCCAGTAAATATTTATTGCGTGAATGAGTGAATGAATGAATGCACGCATGAAGCTGCCCTAAACTTAGCTCGTTATTCGCCCAAGCAGAGACTGCGAACTAGAGGCCTGTGGGCCAGATCTGGCTGGCAAATATGGTCCCTTTGGTGCAACAGTATTGGCCATGAAAATTAGGAGACTTGTCCATTCAATTCTGGGTCTACATTACCTATTAGGAATAATGGGTTGGAACTGGGTCGCAGTGGCCCCCTTCACGGGAGGCACGGTTGTCCCTTTTGCCATTGCCCCCCTCCACTCTGCTTTACCACTCATGTGCCTGGATCCCATAGGTTTGTGACGCCTACTTGGATATGTTTAAATGATAATACAAAACTCAGGACTATTTTACAGATGAGTCAATACAGAAAGCCAGCAAGACTTGCCCCTTTACCAACCATCCAGTTAGTTGAAAGAGCTTAGAAACAAGTAGAATTGTCAAAAAGGTTAAAAGCGGGGTGCCTGGGTGGCTCTGTGGGTTGGGCCTCTGTCTTCGGCTAGGGTTGTGATCTCCCTCCCGGTGGTAGGATGGAGAACCACACTGGGCTCTCTGCTGGGCGTGGAGCCTGCTTCCCCCTTTCTCTCTACGCCTTCCTCCCTGCCTACTTGTGATCTCTGTCTGTCAAATAAATAAAATCTTAAAAAAAAAAAAAAGGTTAAAAGCACCTTTAGGAGGAATGTCATTCTGATACCACACATAGATGAACATTGAAGACGTTGTGCTCATTGAAATAAGCCAGACACCACACACAAAAACACTGTATGGGTTCACGTAGGTGAGATACGTCGAATAATGAAATTCATAGGGACAGAAAGTTGTCAGGGATGAGGGAAGGAAAATGGGAGTTTGTGTTTAATGGGTAGGGAGTTCCTGTTTGGGAAGATAAAAGAGTTCTAGAGATGGATAGTGGTGATGGTTGCACAATGTGAATGTACTTAATGCCACTGTACACTTAAAAGTGGTTTAAATGGTAAATTTATGTTATGTATATTTTGCCACAATTTTTTAAAAAGGTTAAAAATAGAAAAAGCTATGCCAGAATGCCTTCATTAAAGGAAGGGAATTGGGGCACATGGATGGTTCAGTCAGTTAAGCAACTGACTCCTGAATTAAACTCAGGTCATGATCTCAGGGTCATGAGATCGAACCCCACCTTGTGCTCCATGCTCAGCGTGGAGCTGCTTCAGATTCTCTCTCCCTCCTCCGCTCCTTCACCACCCCCTGCTTCTGCTTGCTCTTTCTCTCTCAAATATTTTTTTTTAAATTTTAATAAATATAAATAAAAGAAGGGAATTTATTTCATGGGGCACTTTCTCTGAGGTTTCAGAGGACTTTCCAGCTGCTGAAGCAGTGGATATCAATACAGTAAGTCTTTTAATTTTCACAGCCAAATAAAGAGAACCCATTTAAGATTGCCAGCTTTTTAATTTTACCAAGTAAATTTCTTAAAAACTAATGCAAATAATTGCTATCTACAGTCCCTATCATTCTTTTAAGAGAAGAAAAAGGTCACAAAGTATATATATATATTTTTTTTACAAAGTATATATTTTTATACGGAAATTGTTTGATGAAGAACCCCACTACTGTCCTTTTGTTTTTGTTTAGCATTGAAAAAATTTTTATCATGTCCCCTTTACCAGAGTTGGGTACTCTAGTATTTAACATACTTCTAATAACGATCTTACCACTTTCAGAATATAACAAATAAGGGTTTGCAATGTACCTAAGTTCTTGGACAGCCATTCTTCCCTTGATATCTCTTTTATGACCTGACAAATGTTGGTTTTAAAAGGCATGGTGTGATGATAGCTTGACTATAGCTTTTTAAACAGAGACCAGACAGGCAGAAAAAGAGAAGGCTGTACAGTTTCTGTGGGAACATCGTGTTTAAATTTAAGCTCAAATTTCAGAGAGAAGAAAGCCCCTAAGGAGTTGAAGTGGGGGTAGGGGGAGAGAATAATAGGGAAGAGGTGAGGACTTTCTCTGAAGTTCCAAAATCATACAAATTGTCCTGGAAACATTCAACTGGAAGCAAATGACCGTAGCTTCCCTAGAGACTGTAGAGAAAACCCCTCACGGGCCATTCTCCCTTCTGACTTCTATTCACTCTAACTTCTCTCTTTCGACTTCTGCAATAAAGAAGAGGAGGGAGGATTCTTAGAACAGAATGCTGAGACCAGAAATGTCTTTATCTTCCCATGGAAAGTGTTCCTGAGCTAGGCCTGAGAGAAAGGACTGAGACGCAAGTTACAACCTGCCACCCAGGAGCTTGGGGGCTTTCACACCAGGTGAAACTGGAGCTGTCACCACACAGGGAGTGTGGGCTCAAGCTCCAACAGGAGACAGGGCAAGTCACCGTTTCTCTCTTTCCAACTCTTCAGAGGAAGGAGAGGAAGAGAATTTAGTAAAGAAAGCACTTCCATGGACCTTTGTTTTGTAAAGCAAGTACTTAATGAATTAACAAATATTTAGGGTGCAGATACCACATTTCAAGGCGTTTTAATGGGTCTGTTTAACAATGAATTTTAGCTGAGTCAGTAAGTTTCTCATTTTTTCAAGCCCTGACATTTTGCAAGTCTACTCATTCTAAACCTGATTTCTAGTTGACTGTTTTATTGCTTTGATCCACTCATTCAACAGTTTCTGGTGGTCTGTACCTTAGCCGAAGAATTTTGCCTTGTCTTTGTAAGATCATCACTTACAAAATTATAATAGCTAACATACTTTGAATGCTCACAAAGTGCCAGACACTGTCCTAAAAACTTTACACAAATTAATTCTCTTAACACTCATACTAACTCTATGAAGTACTTACTGTTATTATCCCTATGTTACAGATGGGGAAACTAAGGACCCAAGAAATTTACTACAGGTGCCACTGGGCTGCTCCTGTGTTCTGATCTCCCACTCCACAGTCTTTCATAATGGGAAGCACCTACAAGCAGATCACTCAGCCCATGGGAATTTGAAAAGATCCAATTTTCAGCATTCTGCTTTCCAGAATTGTTTCTAAAACTCCACTACTGTAAAAATGTGGGAACTGTGTACTAAGTTCTGTTGTTGCCTTTAAAAAGGAGGGAATGAAGGACGCCTGGGTGGCTCAGTTGGTTAAGCGGCTGCCTTCCGCTCAGGTCATGATCCCAGTGTCCTGGGATCCAGTCCCACATTGGGATCCTTGCTTGGCAGGGAGGCTGCTTCTCCCTCTGCCTCTGCCTGCGCGCGCGCTCTCTCTCTCTCTCTCTCTCTCTAACAAATAAATAAATGAAATCTTTTAAAAAGAGGGAATGAACTAATGGCTACATCGGCGCAGGAGATTTCTTTCCAGCATAAATCAGAATTGACCTGGACTCAGGTGAGGACTTACAGTCTCAGACTTAGCTTGGCGGGAACTTAGTTTTCCCAATTAGAACTATCCCTTCTGTCTCTCCAGCTATACCGTGAGCACAAGGATATCATCTTTTGCAAGTCTCTTTATCTCCAAGACCTAAACCAATACCTGGACCGTAGTAGGCAAGCGTCTAATACATTTGGGGGAATGAAGATAGTAGCATCACAATTCACCTCAGACAGATTAGCTGACTTGCCTCAAGTCACTCTAGTAAGTGACAGGGTTGGAATGCAAACACAAATTTGTTTGATTCCAAAAATCTAGGTTGCTGTCACAAAGAAGCCATGCCCATGTGTCCTTTCCTGTATTGTTCATGTTAGTGTTACCTTTTCGACCACGTGAATCCTTAGTGCAGGGCCTCTGTCTCAATGACAGTAGTCATCGTGCCATACTTGTTATCTCTGAAGGGCTTCTGTGCCTGGCATTGTGCTCAGGACTCCCCCTGTGTGATCTCATTTACCTTTCACAACAGCCCTGTGAGGTTGAAGTCGGTGCTGTGATGCTAGCCCTTGACAGATGGGCAACTGAGACTTAATAAGGCAAATTAACTTGCACAGGGGCCCGAGCAAGAAGTGCCTGAATGCGAATCCTGGGTGTCCCCAACCACCGTGTGCCATTGCCTAGACTGCCACACCATGACCCCTCGCCTGACCTGTCTCTCCATGAGCTATCTCCTGCTCTGCTGGGTCTGTCAGCGTTATGGACACTCCTCATCAACCACCCACTAACAAGACCACACCTGGATCTTGCCATGATCTAAGATGGCTCCGCCTATGAAATC